GTTGAAAAGTTCTTGGCCTAACCCACTTCCCAAAATCTGACCAAACATCATATATTTTGTTGTTCTTGGTCAGATTGAGAACTTTTCAGTGGCTTCATAATATAGATCTTTAGCTTATTATTTTCATGTTTACTGAAAAGCTAATCTATTCAGTTGTAAAAATATCTATTATTGATACTATTATGATTGATTATAATAGTAATATTACATTTGTTAGAGTTTTGTAGCGAACTACTGAAGAGGGCAAAGAGACCCAGGGTTGCATGCATTTTTTTCAACACTAGAATAACTTACCTCCAGCATGAACAAAGATTCAATCGTGCTTCGTGTGCAAACTGTACAAAGAAGAAAGAAATGGTGGCTTTACAGGTTACATATTTAAAATAGATAGAACTCTGAGTCAGATACTCTCTCACAAGATTATATTTGCGCATATGTAAATTTTTGCTGTAAATGATACATAAAAATGGGGACAGGTAGAATGGTTTATGGTCTGATGTGCAGATCATGCCATGAAGTGTGTTGCTTTTGTTGGAACAAGGTTGACACATCTCATCTGAGTGCTAGGGAAATGGTTCAGGAGAGGAGATGTCAATGCCAGTCTCCTCCCTGAACAACAAAAGAACAATGCACTAACAGTCATTGAAGTGCTCATAGATGAACAGAAGTGCATAGACCTTGTAGACTCTGGCTGCTCATAGACACTAGTGAGCAGATCTGTATGCTGCCTTTGGTGATGCTGGGAGGTGAAGGTGTTGACAGCTGATGGCAAATCGCTAAAGTACCATGGGTATGGCACAGTCAAATTGGATGTTGGTTGTGCTCAACCTGTGAACATTGAAGTCCTTGTTGTGGATGGAACGTTACTATGCTTTGATCTGCTTTTGGTGATTTATGCAATCTAGGAGCTTGGGGGAATCTGCATCACTAAATCGGAAGAAGTCTGCTTCCCTGAGGAAGATATACTCCAGTGTCCTGCCATTTTCATCAATGAACCTGATTTTAGTCTGCAATCTAACAACCAGAAGAAGTTCTTTGGCTATGGGAGTGGCATTAGAAGTGAACAGAGGTATCATTGAGGAGCCTTGTTGATTGCATCTGACAGGAGATGCTAAGCATATTAATTTAGCAGAACTTGACACAATGATAAAAGGTATCAATCTGGACCTCCAATGGCAGATGACAGTCTTACACCTGGTTACCAACTGTGTGTTCATTGCCAGATATCAGACATCTTGACTTGGAAGGCATGTGTAAATATGAGGGCAGCCAGTGAGATGTTGATAAGATGGCAGTTGGAAGCACTTCATGCACTGATTGATGAGTATGTATTGACAATGAATGTAAAGCTGGTCAAATCTGTGTTAAACCGAGAAGACCACCTCACCAGAGTGCCCCAGAGGAAAGAGCCAAACCTGTGCAACTAGGGTGCACCACTGTGAGAAAGATGAATGAGAGTCAGGTAGCTAATATCCACCAACAAAGTGGGCACCTGGGTATGAAGAGGATACTGTATTTTGCTAGGTCTGTTAACCTTTCAGTATCAACAATAGTTGCAAAGTCAATTGTCAAGAATTGTGAAGCTTGTCAATCTAGTGACCTGGCGCTAGTATACTGATAGAAAGGAAAGCAACTGGAGCAGGTTAGCAATGGATATCACACTACAGCAGTGAACACTTCCTAACCTTTATTAGTTGTGGGCCATCTCAATTTGCAATATGGCAACTAGGGTGCACCACTGTGAGAAAGATGAATGAGAGTCAGGTAGCTAATATCCACCAACAAAGTGGGCACCTGGGTATGAAGAGGATACTGTATTTTGCTAGGTCTGTTAACCTTTCAGTATCAACAATAGTTGCAAAGTCAATTGTCAAGAATTGTGAAGCTTGTCAATCTAGTGACCTGGCGCTAGTATACTGATAGAAAGGAAAGCAACTGGAGCAGGTTAGCAATGGATATCACACTACAGCAGTGAACACTTCCTAACCTTTATTAGTTGTGGGCCATCTCAATTTGCAATATGGCAACCGCTTTGTCAACAAGACTCCACCAGTGTCACTAACCAATTAACATTAATCTTTATTGAACAGGATACACCAATTGAAATCTTAACTGACATTGACATGGCTCTCACATTTGGGCACCTCAGAAAATTCTTCAGTGACTGGGGTGTGCAGCTTTGATTCCGATGAGCTTATGCACTGACCAGAAATGGCATAGTTGAAAGGAGTCACAGAAGCATTAAACCCATGGCTACTAAACCCAAGCAGTGCTCCATACCAGAGGCAGTCTACTGGCATAATGTCACACCTAAGGACAAACTCTCACTGTCTACAGTGCCTGCAGATGCACTACACAAATATCACATTCGTGTATGGGGCATTAATGCAATGTCTCCGCCTGAACCATGGAATACTGGAGGAGCATATGAGATGGGAGACATTGTCTGGGTTAAGACTCTGCAAGGAAGGTGTTTAATTTACTTATTTTTCAGTGTCATTTTGAAATTTTTGTGAATGCTGATGGCAAAGAGGTTCTTTTTTATTAAAGATATGTTTGAAAAATTGAAAATGTATAGTTTGATACCATTTGTGCATCAGAAATAATTTTATTATTTTCACAACTGGAAGGAAAAATTAATATCTTAGTATTAAGTTTTATTAGTCCACACCAACTTTTTTAGCACTTCCTTTAGTTTAATAAATTTTAAAATTAGAATAATTATAAAGACCTTGTTAGGTGAAGTCAAATATTTTATGACATCAAACACGTAAGAAAACAATCAAAAATAAAAGCAATGAATTAAACTCAAAAATATCATTTAACTAGTTTTTAATTAATTTCTTTTTTATGCTTCTAATGTAGTATAAAAAATAAAATTCATTCTAAGTTTCATAAAAGAGTATAGAATAAAAATTATGAAGAAATATAGTTTTAAGGTGAGCTATATTTATGAGATGAAGTGCTCAATATCAGAGATAGAGCGTATGTAAATATAAAAGTGAACATTGAAGTCAACATTCAGAGGTGACAGGCTGTTTCTTGGTAGATGTAAACGTCAGGCATGACGATTGCGTCTAGCATGAAACAGCCTGTCGCCTCTGAGTGTTGACTTCAATGTTCATTTTTATATTTAGAATAAAAATTATAAGGTTAAAGATAATTTCTTGCTTATTGCACTACTGGCATTCTGTATTTTAATTTTTTTAACCTTTTTCTCAAGCTTTTTAAGTCAAGGATGGCAGTAGACAATTACTGTTGTTGAGCTATGACATCACAAGCTACCATGCGTAGATAAACATTATTTTCAGGATGTTTTAAACAAAAGGTAATTATTACTTATACAAAATTCAGTTAATTATCCTTAAATTTATTTGGGGTGGGGTGGAGATAAAAGTTAATCCACTCTTCAGTTGCTGATTTTTATAAAGTTCAAAATACATCCTTTCCGTATACAAAACTACAAAAAAGTGATTTCGGATTTCCTTTTGAAACCACCCTTATTCCTTTTTTGTATTATTTAAAAAGTTAAAAACTGTTATTCTTATTATTATTTTAGAATTTTAACAACAAAAGTGGAAAATTAAAAACAGAATTTTTTTTTTTAACAAAATCCTTTTGATATTTTATGATCTCTAAATTCGTCTTCCAGATCTTTTTTCTTAAACTTCTATCGTAATAAATTGTATTTTTTTAATGAAAAAAAATACAACTTGTCGATGATACATTGGAGGGTTGTTGTTTTTTACACTAATTCCGTAAAATAATAATAATAATGACAAGAATAAATTATTATATTTCCTGTTTAAATAGACGAAACACATCAATAGTTAATAAATGATAATAATAATAATAATAGAGGGTGAATGCGACAGAAGTTGGTGAAAGGGTGTGTACGTGGATAAATGTGTTATTGGGGAACAAAAACAACAGCTGATGATGTGTTGTGGTAATAAGTGACATTTTTCCACCCTGTTCAAGAGTAATTAGATTTACATTCTTTATTACATTTTTTTTATTATTATTTCACCACGGTATGGTTTCAGAGGGACATTCATCACAGACCCTCATCTCCACTATTCCAAGTAAATGTCTTAGGTAAGGTTTGAATAAATAAATAAAAGCAAGTTCTGTTTAGTTTACTTAAACAAAAAAATGAGATTGATTGTTGTAACTTTTAGTTTTCTCTAAATTGTAATAAAAGCGAAAATGAACAAACTGTGTTAAAATTTTGTTTTTTAATATGTTTTTTGGTTAAAAAAAGTCATAATGGTTCGAAAATTTGATTAAAGAAAGATTAACACATTTTCTATAATAAAATCTAGAATTCATAGAGAAAGAAAAATTTAATTTAAATTATTTAAATATATTTCCTGGCAAACTAAAAATGAAAAATTAGATATTTAGAAAAATAATCTTTAAATATGTCCTTTGTTTTTTATTTAATATATGGTAATTATGTGCAATAATAAAATAAATCAACTCTTTAATAAAATCAATTTATTTTAAATAATAAAATGAAAAAAGATCGTAAAAGAGCTAAAAAAACAAAAGGCAAAATGGTGACGAAAAAAAATCGATAAACAAATTAAGCAATAATGAATATTTTTAATAAAAATAAAGCAAAGAAGTACATTTCAGAGAGTCAGCAAATACCTTTCCATCAGAGAGATTAATTGCAATAAAACTAAAAAAAAATATAAAGTAAAAAGTATATTTTTATTTTTATTAATATATTGCCGTGTTGTTATTGACTCGGGACCTCGGGTTACGTTTTAAAAAAATGAGACGAGCATATGGAACAGCTTAAAAACAAAACAATTTTTGTTTTGTTACAATTCAGAAGTCATTAAGACAAAGTCTGAAGCCTTCATCGCAAAGATTTAAAGCCAATTTCAAACAACAAGAGACAACATAAATAAATAAAGACATGATCAGAAGAAGAGAAAAGAGGAAGCCATGTCATACTTACCATTGGGAATAGTAATAATCTATAATACTTATGGAATAGAGAGAAATGACAGTCTCTTTTTCGGTCATCTTCCCTAAAGACAAAACGCCACAAACTCACCTGTAACGAGTACAGAGGTAACAACCAGAAGTTCCACGGCCAACAGGTACAAGTTTAAAACCAAGTCACGACTCCGACAGGTCGTACATGGCGCATACGTACAACTATCTTAACACGGATAGCAGCCGCTGCGCAGAGACACCATATTGGAACCGGAATTTGCCGAATGCTGACGGAAGAACGCTCGCGTGGGCTGCTAACGGTTTCAACTCTGCAGCTACGGTTTACCGTACGTAACATAAAAATCTCAAAACGCGTCATTTAAATAAAGTATGGAGGATATTTTATTCCTAAAATTGCTTGTATTTATGTTGTGTATGTACAAACGCATTTTACAAAACGACACAAAAAAAGAAAAGGTGTGTTTATAAATAGAAAATAAATACATAATGTGGGTGCATATGTATACAAATGAATTCATATGAAGTCTTTAAAGCAGAAATTTTTAATTTTGTTTGAGGAATCTGACAAAATTTTTTTCCTGATTGAATGTTTGATACAATTCTTTACCAAGTCTTTTACATGAGACCTAAGGTTAAAGAAAGTTTTTCTTAGAAAGTTATTGAGCATATTACATTAAGAGATTTTTTCTTAGTATATGAGCAGTGTTCATGAACACAATTTTTTTATTTCAAATAGTGAAAGATTTTCTTAACTTATATATCATTATTCTTTTTAATCACTCATAGTGCTCCCATTATTACTTGGAAAGTGGTTGTGTCGAAATACTACATTATAATAATTATTTTTGATAAAAACCATAATATTGGAATTGTATGAGAAAAGAAGTTAAAATATTGAACTTGTGTAAGAGTAAATAATTTGATAAAAAATATTAAAATTGATAAAAATATTAAAATTGATAAAAAATATTAAAATTGTATGAAAAATTAATTAAGTAAATTAGAGTGTTACTAACATTATTTATTTTTCAAAGAAACCACCAAAATGAAGCCAGACGGTTTATAAAAAAAAAAATGAGGCTCCAAATTAATGTTATAAAAAAGCTGCCAAAATGAAGCCACATGGTTTAAACTTTCTGTGGCAAAATTTTACAGAACGGGCTCAGCTTTGATGTCAAAAACTAGCCAAATTTGAATTGAAAACAGGTGTGGTTTGAATTAATAGTTACTTGAATTTTAACTAATGGGGATAAAAATTATAAGTCTCCTCAGGATTTGTTTTTTATTAGCTGATTTTGATCAACTTGCTTGCTACATAACATAAAAGGGGAAATTTTAACTGCAAAGAAAGAAAAGGCTAGGCTACACTCAGGTGAAAGCCTGTCATCAGGCAGAAAAGATTGACCATATATCACGTGTTAAGGCATTTATCTGGGAGAAAGGATTTTCCCACCTGGGCAAGAATATAGTCACCTGGAATGATAAATGGCTACTATTACTACTATTGCAAAGAATAAGAAGAGAGTCTTTTAAAATTGATATGCAAATGTCATGTGTTTTATAAACTTATGAGTATATCCCATTTTAATGCCTTATAAACCTGTGAGAGTTTATCTCATATTTGAGAACATCTGTTCAAAAAATTTGAATATCTGTCAAAAGGACAGAGAAAAGTATCCTTACCTGAAGTATGTCAACCTTTTCTCAGCCCCCTTTCAATTGTCAACTTTCAACCTTTGAACATTCAACATTTTGAATTGTGAACTTCTCAAAGTAAGTAAATTTCTTTTGTTGCTAAAAAATTGATTTATATGAACTGTTGTTCTAAAAGAAAGTTGTTAAAATGTCTTTCTTTTTAAGGAAAAACATTTGTTTTACATGAACTGTTGTTTTCTAAGGGAAACAGATTTGTATCTTGAAAGAACTGTCTTAATAGTTTGAGGTACACAAAGGAAATTTTGTGCAGGAGTTATATTATACTTTGTACAATTTGTATATTGTGAAAAACAATTTTGTCCAATTAATAAATGTTTGTTTCTCTGCATATTGCACTCAGCATAAGAGTCTTCTTGTCTTTTTCATAAGTGTCTCAAAAGTATTTGGAAGGATAAGAGATTTGAAGCCCTGTTTCCTTTTTTTTTTCTTTTTAACATTCTTGCAATTTCTATTTTCAAGTCCTTGGATTTTGAATGAACCAGTTATCGAATGTTATTTGTTTAAAACAGGCTGCTAAATATTGTGAATTTGAGAAACTGTGATCAGAAAACCATTCAATTTGATCCAAATGAAATTGGTAAGGCCTTCAAAATGAGAAGTATTGGCAAATGACTCTAATGCATTTACAACTGGGAAAGTTGTCACTAGAACAGTGTGTTGAATTTGTTCAGAAACAAGAATTAGTTAGAAAATTTAATAGAACAAAAATGACGGACTGGTAGAGGCAATGGACACATATGTCATAAAGAAAAAAGATAAAATAAGGTGTACTTTTTTGTGTATATCAAAGAGGAAAACAAAATGTAAAAAGTGTTTCAAAATGAATCATTTTAAACGTATGTGTAAATCCAAAAAGAAAAATATAGAGACAGTCCAACAAAATGGAGAGGAAATAAGTATGGATGTCTTTTCATTGAAAAAAAATGAAACAGGGTTATTACAAACTCGAATCAATAATGTTTTATTGGACATGTAACTAGATATGGGAAGTAACATGATGTTGATACTCAAAAAATTCTGGAAGAAATTAGAAAAACCAAGATTAAAGAAAAGCCATATCCAACTGAACCAGTTTCATGGATCAGTGATAAAAACGTTAGGCTATTTTGAAGCCTACGTGGAACTAAAAAATAAGTTTGATGTATTACCAGTTATTGTAGCAAACTATGAAAAAAATCACAGTCTAATAGGAAATGATGTATTGAACATAAATTTCACAAAATTAGTAAACAGAGTCAAGGCAGAAGAAACAGTGATGTTAAAAAACTATGAAGGAAAGTTAAGACTAAAGGAAAATGTCTCCCGCCCTCACCTTATTTTCAAGCACAAAAAGTACCAGTTCATCTACTACCAATAGTTTTGGAAAAGCTAAAAAATTACTGGAACAAAATCTATTTGACCAAGTTCCACTAGGAGGGAATAAATGGTCCTCCCTCTTAGTAATTTTAAGAAAGAAGGCTGGGGATCTGTGCATTTGTGGTGACTACAAAATAGTTGTAAACCATAAAATATGTACAGACTCATATCCTATCCTCCAGGTAGAAGGGTCTTTCATGTTACAATTTTTGGATACATTATGTACTAGTGAGTTAGCCCAAATGACTTGACTCACTTTATACTCCACCAATAGAAGGTTAACCAATCAGAAGACGTAGCATATTCAATCCGTCGTGTATAAAGGCTGCCATTTTGTTTACTCTATCCGAATGTCCAGTACCAGTTTGTCAGGCAAAGAGGAACAGAAGGAAGAACTACGCTCTGCTACTTTACCGGGATATCCACTGCTAACCTGAACTACGCTTCCCTACTGTCTTCGAAATATTCACTGCTAACCTCTGGATTCTATATTCAAAGACGACCGTCATCATGAACAACATTTCAACTCCCTTGCAGATATGAAAACACTCTCTAAAATTGATCTAAAATCGGCATACCATCAAATAACTATTAATGAAGACTTAAAATAAGTCACAGCAATAAACACACCAATAGGCTTATTAAGATGGAAAAGAATGCTGTATGGAATTAAAACCACATGTGTGATTTATAGAGCAAGTTATTAGTAGCAATATAAAAATAGAATACGCTACCAGGAGGACATTTGTGTTGGAACTATTAATGACGAAGAATTAAAATTGAAAACCAGTACAATTTTGAATAAATTAAAAAATGCTGGAATAACAATTTACAACAACAACAAAAAAAATGTGTGGACAACACTAAAAAAATATCATTTTTGGGATATTCAATATCTAACAAAGGCATATCATCAGATCAATTGTTAATTGACAAAATATTAAAAATTGAAGTACCTAATAACTAAAAAGTATTGGAATCTTTCTTAGGACTTGTAAATTTCTACAGATAATATGTAGAGTGATACTCTAAATGGACAGAACCTTTTGCAGCTTTAAGAAAAAAGAATATGGAATTTATTTGGACAAACGAACAAGTGGCATTTGAAAATTTAAAAGCTGTTCTGGCAAAGAAGCCTGTAGTAAAAATATTTGACCCTAGAAAGGAAATAGTAGTAACAACTGATGCAAATGAACTCAATTTCGGGAATATTAGCTCAGGATGGTCATCCTATTATGTATCTTTCGAGAAAAATGTCAAAAACCAAATTGAACTATTCAAATATTGAAAAAGAAGTATTGGCCATAATATAGACCACAAATAGAGCTTGTCAGTTTCTGATTGGAAAGAAATTCCTACTAAGGTCTGACCATAGACCTTTAGAATTCATATTTAATCCTAGAAAGGAACTTCTTAAGGTAATGATTTCTACAATTCTAAGATGGGCCTTAATATTAATGGCGTTTAACTTTGATATTGAGTAAGTAAAAGGCAATACCATTCTGTATGTAGACACTTTGTTGAGATTGAGATTTATGACTTCTGTAAGTGAGAAAGAGGAGGAAAATTTCAAAGATACTTATTTACACTGGGTTGAAACTAATATTTTCTTGATAGACAAATTAGCTGAGGATACGAAGTGAGAGTCCATATTGAACAGTATGTTCTTCCGGATAACAAATAAGTGGAATAATTGCTCACAAGCAGAAAGGCATTTTAAAGAGGTTAAACACAAGTTAACTGTAGAAAAGGGTGTAATTTGTAATGGAGGTGTAGTGGTTCTACCTGCAAAGCAAAGGAGCAAAGTTATAAAAAGTATACATGATGATGTTCATTGTGGAACAATGTCTACACAAAGGACATTAAGGCTTGAGGCATAGTGGCCAGGCTATTCTACAGATGTAGAAGAATACATAAAAAGGTGTAAAATGTGCAATGACAGAAGATTTAGACAGACAAAAACACTTATGTTATGAGGTAGATATTAATGACAAAAATTAAAATGTATAAAACATACAGCAATAAAAACTTGAGACACATGTTGACATAAATAACAAGAATTTTATTTTTTTTTGTGATGTGAATTACAGAATATTGGTATGGTGTGTGTAAAAATGTTCTCAGTGTCTCTTTTGTTTAAAAGTCAGTGCTTACTTGGTATGCTTCTGAGAATTTTGTTTGTGAAGATGGCATTTGAAATTGTTTTCAATTTTCACCGGAGTGCTGGCTAGTTGTGTGTTTCTGTACTGTTACTTATCTACTCATCTACTGACTACTGCTATGGATACCCTAGTCTACTTGTGGTGGAAGGGTCATTTTCATAATGATGAGAGTTAGGATGATGAAATGTCCTTTTCTATCATCACTGATGACAAGGTTATTTTTAGAATGATGAAATATCATCATCATCATTCTGGACTATAACACATACATGGCCTAAAGAGACCCTACCTTGTGACAGAGTACACCTGGATCATGTCCATGTTAATGGAGTGGGATTATTACTAATGCTGGTAGATTTGTATTCAAGATGGCTAGAAGTAATACAAGTTTCCAATAAAAGAAATTCAACCATGAAACAAGTGCTAGGGATGATATTTTAAAGAAATGGAATTCCAAAAATGCTAGTATCTGATAATGCTCCAGAGTTCTGCAAGGAAGAATGGTTGAACAAAATTGGATGCAAACCATATCCCCCACCCATGTACTATCCACTATCAAACAGATTAGCAGAAAGATTGGTGCAAACTATAAAAAACAGATTGAAAATATGTGTATAATAGAAAGAAAAGAAAGATTGCTTCTAAGTTATCGGTCAATACCACATGCTGGAAGATCAAAAAGACCTCATGGGTAGACAAATTAGTCCAATTGATCATGTCCTATGCTATCAATGAAAATTATGCTATAAAAAATAGTGAATCTAATCTATAAGAGGCAAGATTCATAATGCAAAGTAGACAGAACACTATAATAGAAAAAGAATGGAGATGGGATATTAACGCATCCAGGCCAAGTTAGATTGCAACACAATACCAATGTATAGTGAGCTTAATAATGAAAGTGAAAGTATCATGTCAAAGCAAGACAAACTAGATAGTGAAATTGAAGGTAATATAGACTCTGAAGATGAACAAGGACAATTGTTGGAGGAACACTCCTCTTCCATATCTAGACAATCTCTTAGAGAGAGGGAGGAAGATAATGAGGTGACAAAAGCTCCCAGAAATATCAGGGAAAATAAAAGGATAAAACCTCTTTGGTACAGGGAGATGAGGTGACTCATTTACATTTTTCTTAATCAGTATCAGCCCAAGCAAGGCAGTACAGCTATTAATAGGCAAGGGGTTATACGGTATGGAGGAATTAGGAAGACAATTATTTTAACAAGAATTTTCAAATTAATGTTTTTCACAGCAAAAAGACAGTAAAATTTCCCAAACTATATTATGGTCATCTACTGATGCAAGAAAAAGGTTCTAAAAAGGATTAGAAAATATAATTTAATAATCAAAAATTCCTTTGGTCTTTTCTCTTAATAATAATAATAAAGATTTTGACGATAAAACTTTGTCTTCATTAAGATTAGGCATTTTTTCTTTGGAGGTACCTAAATATATACCTTACATATGAAATCCAATGAAAAGATTATTTTCAAGCCATCAAATATTCTTAAAAAAACTATCCATTATGGCCAATAAACTAAGATGTACAAATGTAGAATTTTTAAACACAATAAAGTAGCTAGTAGCAGAATTTTAAGTTATGGACAGTGACCAATTTGTTAAACTGACATGCAGATTATTTTACGTGATTTACACTTCTGATGAGCTCATAATTGTTTAACTATGTATTTTAAAGAAAGATACAACTTAAGTAAGTTTACACAGCTTCTACCAAAGATGAATAGCAAGCAAATCAAGATGATAACTGGCATTAACACTATTAATTCATTACAGGAAAGTGAATATTCCTAACAAATAATTTATTTCATTAAAAAGCTAATTTATTTACATCACAATGTTACGACTTTACAAGTATATAAATGTATTGAGAGCCATATCAATTTTCAGTCTTAAGTAAGAATTACAAATTCTCCTTGGCATTAGGAATTTGATCACCGGACAGCATCTCCCAACCAATTGCACTTGTGAGAGAGATAGATAGAGAGAGTAAAGATATTTACTCAGGTTTGCAGTTTTACATAAATGCTATTTTTCTTTTTTTTTTCTTTTGGAGATCTAACAAAAAGATAACCGTTCTATATTGTAGATAATATAAACAATGAGAGCCAAATTGCAAACTTTTCACTGGCAGGAAACAAGCATTAGTCAATTATTATTCATTTTTTATTTGCATTTCTTTAATCTTCCCATTAACACCCAGATTGGAAAGGCTCCCCCACTTCCAAGAATAAGTGACACAAGTTCAAGCCTTGATGGCAGCCTATTCTTTATTTCCAACCCACATCACAAAATGATTTGGAGTTTAGGCTAAAAAGCAACACAAAGAAATACTAGCCAAAAAATCAAGTTTTAACTAGTGTATAGAATGTGTGATAAACTTAGTTTTATGAGGATTTAATATAGATTGAATATGTGCATAGTGTAGCAGATATTGATGTAGAAAGTGGGATCACATGCCGAGTTCAAATTCTGGTTGGCATTATTGCTTTCACACAAGTACCTTTCAAAAAAGTATAAATCCATCACTTCTTTCCCTACCTATGAGTTAAATAGTAGGGCAGACTGGGTTCTGTAGCCTTGGTTGGTAACCACTCTAGAAGGAAAACTTTGAATTCATAACTATCTATAAGGCCCTGTTTTGACTTCAGACACACCCATATGTGGTACCCCAATAGCCCTATTGAATTTTAGAAATTGTGATCATGAATAAAGATTACCGAACACTGGAATCAAATATACCATTTACATAAAAGAAATTTATTGCTGCATTTGGAAAACAATTTTATTGAGTTACACAATGTTGGTTAATCAATAACAAATTCATAGTGATTGAGGATTTCAAACTTCTTGGAAGCATCAAGTATTGAAGAAAAATTGTGATTTAAGAATGTAAATCTTTTGATATTACCATATTAAAAATAAGAAAAAATTTAAAATTTTTTAAAATATCAATTAAGTTTTTTAACTTTTTGTTTATTACAAAAAGTAGTGCTTTTAAAAAAATCTTTGCACAATTTAACTCTTTTGTGTTTTTGATGTTGCCACCAGTTTTGATTGATCTATTCTGAAGCATCCATCAATTGTATATAATCTGTCAAAAGGGGCATAAAAAAATCCTTATTTCTTAAGAAAATGTCAGCAAAAATGGTCACTAATGCTAGTATGGTTTTGTCTAGAATTGCTGAAACAGACTGTGGTAACATCAAGAACACAAAAGTTCAATAGTCAAAACAAAATTTGGAATGTTAATTCTCCTCAAAGTTATAGGAATTAATGTCTTTAGGATTAATTCTCAAATGGTAGAAGAAAGAAGTTAAGCTGAGAAGTCTGACATTTCAATTCAACTTTTAGTTGAGCTTGGCTTGTTGCAGTTAAACTAAAAAAATGTTTATTTCAAACTAAGAAAATAAAATGCTTTTTTTAATAACCAGTCAAATTTTGTATTTGATGTAAATAATTGCAATAATCAAACTATAAAAAATAAAGGCAAAAGAAAAACAAAGTCAAAAGCAGCAAATAAAAGCAGTCAATGCTGCATGTTTATTGAAGGAAGAGTTGTAGGTCGGAAGAGGGTGCAGATGTTGACCAGAGGCAGACCATAAGTCCTTCTCCCAAACTCCTTTAGTAACAAAGGCTAAGAGTGGTAGGGACAAACCAAAGTATAGAAGAGTCGGATATCAACTCTGATGGAACTCTGCATAATTTTGATGTATCACCAAAACAGATAAGGATTGTACTTTTTGATTATGCTGAGAAATCCAGGCAGTACAGATTATAAATCTGACACTCTTTGCTTTTTAAAGAAAATGATTTTCACTTTTTCTTTCCTGATAATCCAGCACCAGCATTAAATTTAAACAAGATGATGTCACCATCATCAACAATGTAATCTCGCCCTTTTTGTTTGTATTTGCCAGCAGCCTGAAAAAAAAAAAAAAAAAAAAAAAAAAAAATGGTTATATCAAAACAAATATTTAGTATATTTTTTACTATTTTCTTTGGTTGATGCAAAACTTTTCTGCATTTTTTAAACAAAATCTTTCATTCATATAAATTCACAGCCCTCATTATTCAGTCATCAACATATTTCCCATAGATTTTTGTGATTGTATGTCATTTTCTTTTAGCTAAATCATTTATTCCATCACACAGAAAATGTTTGGTTTTGGCTGGATTCATGTCTTTGCTATTTTGAATTTGCTGGAATAACGATTGCTACATGGACCAAAACAAACGGTACTCTGAAGGTGACAAGTCTAGAGAATCTGCAACATCAAGATGCATGTTGTCATTCAGCAAAGTTACTGGTCATATTTCTCACACAGAAAATGGTAATTTTTTCTTCCAATGCATCATTCAAACAAGTCAATTGCTCACTGTAGACTTATTCAGTAATAGTCATATAAGTTCCAGTAATTTTTAAAGAATTTCATTTGATTCCAACAAAGACCATTGCCAATTCCCATTAAACTCCATTTAGATTGATACAGAAGTCTCCTTTGGAATTAGGGACATTTGGATTTTTACAATAAATGTATTTTCCATCACCATGACTATTTTATTCAAGAATGACTTTTTTGTGTCAATAAGATGCATTTAAATATTGACACAGGTTCTGTTATGTAAGTTAATGGTGAATTGATTTTTCTAACTTCTGAATTTTCCCTAAGTTTTGTAAATGATGTTACTTCAGTTGAGAACTATACATAAACAAAGAGTTCAGTAAAATTCAAAAGGCATTTATAAAATTTCTTTAACATTATTCAAAAGACCTTGCTGGCAACTTTTACATCAACCTGATATTTTATTAGTAATTTAGAAGTAAATGGCAAGTTTCTTAGTGATTTTCATTTTAAAACAAACATTTTAGTTTGTTTGGTTAGCCAATGTCAAATTGAATTGTGGAATATTTGAAAATACAAATCTTAATTAGTAGGAGCAAATAACAAACAAACAAAAAACTTCTTTCTCAATCAGAATTTTGATAAGATCAGACAAACCAAAATCCTGGTAGGTTTAATACCACAAGAAAGTCTGGTATTTATTCCCTTCCCTACAAGGTAAATATGACATAAGATCAGTTTAAAGTGGAGCTCCATGTAGACATATGGTGGTAAAGTTAAACATTGTCTTGTTCTCTTGGCTTTGTCATGCTGCAGACAACAGTGAATAATTCTGACCTCTTTTAGTACAATGTTTAGGTGTTTCCTGGGAGAATGGATCACCTGAAACTTTTTATTGATCAATGACCATGAATAACCAAGTATTTGGGGACAACAAAATAGAAACACTGACTGGATTTATAGAACTTGGTCTATTATTTTTTTCATTCTTCCAATTCTAGGTAATAATATAAATATATTTATATCTATACAGCATCTTTGTTCTGTTAACTAGGCAAATTCCAAAACCTTCAAGTTGAGGTAGAGCATTATTTTACCTAAGTGTAGTACTATTTTTGGATTGATATGTTATATTTGTCAAATATCTCAAATCTATGTGATTAATCACAAAAGAATATATTCATTTTCCAGACCCAAAGATTGCATATCAAATGGAACAAAACCTGTTTAGACAATCATAAAATATTACAAGACAAACTCTACAGATGGATTGTGAATAAGATTAAAGATTAATTATGCATATAAAAGAAAGAGATGTTAGGATATAATCAAGTACAAATTGAACTAATCTATCTGCTGTGTTCTAACTTCTTCAAAACTCATTTTTTTAACAAGAGTAAAATGATGATATTGACATTTATGCATCTACAGAGAAGATTCTTAATGCATTGATATCTGTTTTGTAAGAATATAGCATAGAATAGTTGGTCTAGTTTTAAATACATTCATCAAAAAAACAAAAAAAAAAACACATCAGACAGTGAACTTACTTTAACTGCTGATTCTGATTCATGTTCTTTAAAATCATTGTAAGCCATCACTTCAGCCATAATAAATCCTTTTTCAAAGTCTGTATGAATTTTACCAGCAGCTTGTGGAGCTTTTGTATTTTTCTGTTGAAAAGAAAAAATTGATTTATCACCAAAATTATATTAAAACATATAAAATGTTTGTCTAAAGAAAGCTAAAAATATGTATTTTTAATAATTATATAAGATAAAAAAAGAAAATAGCAACAAAAACATTCTGTATTATCTCTTAAATAAAGAAGATTGTGTGTATGTGTGTCTCTCTAGAAACTATATAAATAGCAAAGTTACTGGAAATAAATTGTTACCCACACGCTTTTTGATCCCAAAACTACAACAAAGAATGGGAAATTAATTTTAAAATGTATCTGAAGAATACATATTTATCATCGGCATAAGAGTTTAATTTTTTTTTTTACTAGGATTTGTTTTATAAGTAAAAATTATTTTTTATTGTAGTAAAGAGAAGAGTTAAATTGCGCTCATTCTAAATTTTTGGAAAACAATTCTACCTCCAGTGAATAGACAGTAATATTTTAATTTCTCTAATTAAGCAGTATAATTTCTCTTAAATTAGTTAAAAGATATCCTGTTAAAGTACTTATATAATTTAAAAATATAAACGAAACAATTATTTTCGTTTTAATAAAAGATTTTCAGAAAGAACACTTTATTCCACATGATCTTCAATTTGTATTGAAATCTTAATTTTTCACCAAATTAAGTTTCACAATCACAATCATAAATTTTGTCTTCCATGATTGACAATTACATTGTTATACAAATTGTAAGAAAAAATGAAGGCAGGAATTAAAAACAAAAAATTCTTTGTTGAAATATCTTTTAAATGATTTCTCAGTTTGTATCCATAAAATACTATTCAAAGTAACTGTAGGTTTATATAAACAGAAATTGAAAGTGAACATTAAAAATATACTTATTTCATTCTGGTGATCTGTACAAAAACTAAATAGATTTAAGAAAAAAATATTTTTAACATTCAATAACTCCAATTAAGCAGATTTTCATAATTTTAGAGGCTGTGTTTATGCTTTCATTGAAATTGTAGAAGTAAAGCATCTCTTAAGATTAGCATTCTAAAATGTTAGTTTGCTATTAACACTTGATAATATGGTTCAATTAATTAATTGTTCACATATAGAAGAATTAAACAAAAATGATTTTTAACTGAATATTTTTGATTTATCTTAGCAGAAAAAGAAACATCAAAATAGACAGAAGTTTAGAAAAAGCAATCAGGAAAAGGAAATGAACAAAAAAAGAAATTGTGCAATGAATTTTGGGCAGATAATTTTCTCTTAGTTTGTCTTGGATGTAATTATGAAATAAAGGGAAAATACCAATTTTTTTTATTAATCTCATCAGTTTTTGGCATTATGTGTGGTTAAATGTTCCTTTTTTAAATCCTGATGGAAGATCTGAAAGGACCAGGATATATTGGAATTATTTCTTTTCATTTTATTAATTGCTTAATGCAAGTTTCTTATGCTAATAAAAATTTGGCTGTACCCCTATCCCCGCCAGTAATTGTTTTCCTATCTTCAATGCCCAAACACTTGTACATAGCCTATGCATGAAGTGAAATTGTTATTTTAATAGTAAAATATAGATGCAAATATTTATCAGCTGTTATTAACTTACTTGGATTGTCCATGCCTTCACTTCATCCTTACCAGTTGTAAAGAAGTACAATAACTGTAAGGCTTTGTAACCTTGGACAATAATCTTATCCATGGCACTGAAAAAGAGAATCATTGATTAATATGTTTTTGTATTTTAAAAACTTGTAAGCTTGTTTCACTTCAATGGGTAAAATTTTAAACTTTCAGGAATCCACTTTATCCTTCCAAGGTACATAAGTATTTTATTTTTAAAAAGGATTTGTTTTTATGTAAATATATTTTAGAATTTCATTAAAAGAAATTATTTGAAGAAAAATGAATTCATGAAAATATTGGAAATATCTGGCAATTATTTTCTCCCTAAATTCAATATTAAAATTAAATATTTCAACCTAACACACTTTTTTGAACATTTTAAAATCTCATCAGATTTTAAATACAAAACTGACTGAATGCTATTTTTGAATGACAAACAAAAACATTTTAAAAACTATTAAATTGTTTTTCTTTTTCAAAGATACAGACACAAAATAATGGATTTTTGCATATAGAAGAATTAAACAGAAATTTGTCTAATAGCATCTGAACTACTAGTATATAAAAATTTATTATTATAATAAGTAAAATAAAATTTGTTAACTTATGGATGACTACTGTATTTATTACATATAAATTATGCATTATAAAAAAATTACTATTATTTATTATACAGAACAGTGTGTCAATATTCCAACTTGATATTAAATCATAAAATTTACAAAATACTTTCAATATAGACACAAACACATGAAAGTTAATACCATGCATGAATAATATGAATGAATTTCTTATATATAGATATATATGTGTGTGTGTGTGTGTGTGTGTGTGTGTGTGTAGAGAGAGAGAGGAACCTCCACTTTTTCATGGAAAAAACAGCATAGCATGATGAAAAAAAGGCCCCAAACTCAATAAAAAGAAAGTTTTGTCATCAAAATGTTTTTGCTATTATTAAGAGGAAAGACCAAAGTATTTTTTATTCTTTGAAATTTTTTTAATCCTTTCTAGCATGTTAAAAATTTTGTTATGTCTACTTCAGCGGCTGATGTAACGATAACAATTAGTTTTTTACACACTGAAAAATCAAATAATTGTTGGATTTTAATGAAACTTTCAGGACATATTCATAATTTTTTTTTTTTAAAAAAAAAAAAAAACATATGTTACCACCGATTTACTTAATTTCATGAAATTTCGAGAAAGTCACATTTTAGGGTGGGGATTTTTTTTATTAGTTAAAAGCAGGACTCCTTAAAGAAAGTAAATCATCAATTGTTTTTTGTAAAACAGTTACCCTTTTCACTGAATATCTCAGTGAATATCTGCTCTGAATTGTAAAATAAAAAATGCAATAAAACTATGACATTATTTAATTACAAAAGCTTTTAATTGCTTTGATAAATAAGATTTATTAAGGACACTATTGTCTTAAGAAGAAAATTTTTTCAATGAATAATTCATTTTTACAAGAATTGTTTTCATTTTTTTAAAATTTTAATTAAATAATTTATAATATTAAAAAAATCATTTAAAATTCTGTATTTTTTCAAGGCAGTGGTTTGGTGATATTGTTAAATGAAAAGTACATTTACAAATCAAAAATTGAAAAGCTCATAACAGATGTTTGTACCCAAATATTAAAAAAAATTTTTTAGTGTATAAACATTCTCAATTTCTAACTATGGTAAGCCAACTTTTAAAATCCTTTAAAAACTCATGTGATTTAAGAGTTGTCTGGTGTTCTGCAATTCTTTCAATTTCATTATTCAGTTCTGTTTCATTATTAACATCTTTGCAAATCATCCCTTCAAAATTTCAAGTTTTACTTTTTTAATTATTATTTCACTCTTTTTATTTTATGCATTTATTTTAGTTTGTGTCATACTCCAATTAAGTAATTTTTTGTTTAAGTTAGTAAATTTAAGAACCTAGAAACGAAACCCAAATTTCATAAAGCATGTTGAAACCTAACTAAAAGTCCATAAAATATCAAATAATTGCAGAAAATATGTTAATTTTTAAAAATTACTAGGTAGTTAACAAAAAAAACGATTCAATCACTTAGATTTTAATTTATGTCAATTCTGGTCATCCATACTAGCTGTCATCACCTTGGAACTTATTGATATGTCAATAAAGATCAAAGAAAAACAGGACCCATTGTTAAATGTTTATATATTACTTATTTTTATACTAGAAGTAATATTTATTTCAAATCACATTAATTTAACTTTAAATTTGCTAATTTTACTCAAATAACATGTCACAATATCTATTTTATTTTTGGAAATTTTTAAAATTTTTGTTTACAAATTTCTTAAAATTAAGAAAATGGCTACTTCTAAGATTACTTTCTGAAATCTGCCAAAAAGTTGAGATTCTGATCTATATAATTTCTACTTGAAATACATCAGAATATTTTACTTACTGGAAATAGTAAATTTAATCATTTAGCTTCCAATTAAAGCTAAAATGAAATCTCCAAGAATGCTTTTTCATTTTAAAAAATTCATTTCAAACCTTATGTATCGAAAATTCAGTGGAGGAACCTCTCTCTCTCTCTCTATATATATATATATATATAAAGCCTGTTTCACTGTATCACAGCTCATCAGTATGGTTTGATTGCTTCAAGCTGGGATCGCAACTCAACCGATTTGGCATCAGTCTGAGATTCTACCCCTAAGCTATCAGTGCATGACAAAAAAAAGGGAAATTTTTAACATTATATACATGATATATACAAACGCCAGTAGCCAAGAGCACTCAATTCATAACTGAAGCGCTATATATATAATTACACACGCACACCATGTTATCTCTGTAAAGAATATGATGTACGTAATTCTAATTAAAATTTTTGTAAAGAGTCACCTTTGTTAAAAGTTTTGTAGATGTGGGCATTTTATTATAGAGCAGAGAGAAGACATTTATGAACTTGGATCATCAGTGAAGATATTTTGTTACATTCACTGATATAATATGACCTTTCATAATACGCTTACCTATTACAGTTGTTTTCTTTCATATATTTTTCTTTTTCTTCAGGATCCATTTCAAAAAGCTTTAATTCCAAACCACAGCTGAATGGTATGACCAAGGCTCCAGCATCATGAGTATCCACCCATGCCTTGATTTTAGCTAGCCTAAGAAACAAAACATCAATTTGATTTTTAAATATGTTATTTCATTTAAAATTTATTTTTTGAATATAAAATTAAATACTAATCATTACCCTGAATAATTAAAAAAAAAATATTTATTCTTCTTGTCACTGTGCAATGCACAATGATATTAGACAGCAGTCTCCAGGTATACACACACACACACAGCATCAAATAAAGTAATGTTCAAAATACATTAGAAACTGTCAATGTGTGGCAGCATTTATTTTACGCAGAGCCTATGGATAAAAGCTATCTCTCAAGCACTTTGTTCTAGAACTGATAGAACTAAAATGTTGCCCTGATGACAACAATTCAAACAAGTGCTATCTGGGATGTGTGTTGTCTTTCATCAGGTTTTCTGCTCTGCTGTGATAATGAGAATTAGAAATGATTTTCAAGGAAGACAGTAAGCAGCTGATTATTTTCTAGGCAATCTGTTGAAGGGTTTTTTTGCACATGCTGAACAGCTGGCATACCAAACAGTGATGTAGTACACCAGCGCACTCTCAACAGAGTAGCGATAGGCCATCAGCAGCTCCTTTAGTAGTTAATTCTTTATGAGAATTTTCAGTGAAGAGATCCTCAGCAATGGATGTGCTCAGAAATTTTATCCACCCTTGCCACAGAAACACCACCACCACCACTCCCGACTCCTTTGTCTTTTTTTTTTTATTGCTCAATGCAATCTTTCTATTAAACTCATGTATTCAGCCTCATCACCTCTTAAAATGAGTACAAACTGAGTAAAGTCATCTACAAACAATGATCATTGGCGAAAGGATTGGGCCACAATCACAAGTGTAGATGGTATACAGAAGAGGGCTTAATACACAACCCTTTGGGGTAGTGGTGCTGACCATGAGAGTGGGTGAGAGGTGCAGAACTATGCTCACATTTTGTTGATGGTTTGCCAGAAAGTCCTTAACCCAATGACAGATGGATTGAGATAGTCCTAAGTTTGCTTTGTAACCAGTCTGCTCACATGGTGATTGTGTAAGCAGAGCTGAAGTTAACAAACAGCATTGTTATATAACTCCCTCCTTTTCTCTACATGAGTCAATACAATATGGAGAGCTGTGGCAATGGCATCTTCTGCTGATCTATTTGAAGAAAGTTCATCAGAACAATTACCATGAAAATATTTATAGAAAAGGCACAGAGAATGTATGTTACAGCAGTGGGAAAGTGACTGAAGTAGAGATGCCAGGTCAAGACCAATGACATTGCAGAAGCACCAGAGCCTATGTGACAGCAATATTCAATGCATGGATAAATGGTAAACTTAGAAAGGTGCAAGATAGATTTTGGTGAGAAAAAATTGTCTAGCACAACAGACGGAACTTAACTTTCTTGCAGTAGACCTAGCAATTGATTCAATATAATCATTCCATTTCATGTCAGTGGAAAAAGTTAGCTCAAGAAGGCACAATGAATCACTCTCCCAGTGATGCTGATGGAAGACAAAAAAGGTTCTCTAAGACGATTAAAAGAATGCAGTTTTGTTTCGGCAGCAATAAAAATAACAAGCAATTTCTTGGCATGTTTAACTACAGATTAAAGGTCATTTTTGAGATTGGCTGCCAATTTAACTTTTGTATTGTAAGTCAGATTATAAGCTTTTTGCTGCTTCCAAAATCAACTTAAAACTTATCATCTTCTGCTTGATTACAACCACATATTGTAACATTATCTAAGAATGGAAATGGAAATAGCTGCCGATGATGAAAAATGACAATTTTTTAAAGTGTCTAACTTTTTTACACTTCCAATAATGTGCTTTTCTAGTTGGACAGCAATTAGTACCACAGAATCAAAATGATGAAAAAAAATGTCGGGCTTTTGCAAAGAGGGCTCAGAGCAATTCTATTATATTAGAATAAATAAAAAGAAAGCTCAAAATGTTCAAAGACTTAAAAAAAAATTAAAATTAAATAAAGTTTTGCACTTTGCTCATTATCTGAAATTGTACTGTTTTGGGACATTCAAGAATTAAATGTCTTATAATTACCACTTATTTTTTTTCCGAATAAAATCTTTCTCTGATAAGTTGACCAAGTATATCACAGGTTTTGCAGTGAGGAATAAATGCATATTCAAAATATCAATCTGAAAAGAAATGAAAGAAATTATTAAGTTCGATTAAGAATTTACTCTTAGGTAGGTTTTGAAATGAATGTTATGAGAAATATAATTACAGAAGTTAATTTTCTCACATTTTCTGTAAGGAGAACTAAAAAATAATGCTATACATAATAAACTAGGTAAAATTTTTATTCATTTCTGCAAGATACAAGCAGTTGCAAAGGATTGTAAAAATAATCTGAATAACTTGTGTTTTTCTTTAAAATGAAGATAGTATTGTAGGAAACAGCCTGTTGTCTTTATGCTTTGCCTATTGATGATGAAATTCCTCTACTTAGAAAAAAAATCATTACTTTCACAGTTTTAGTGGCATCTAAATTATTATTAAAGCAACACTTGACCAAAAAAAAAAACAAAAAAAACTTAATAATCATTAAAAAAGTATAAAATTCATAGTTAAATTATTGTCATCAAATTTGATTCTGTTGTAACAATTTTTTATCTTTTGCTAAACATATTCACATTATTCATAGGACATAATATTTGGAGACAAACATTCTTAAATTAAAGAAACAAATTTGGTTGTTAAATTATCAAAGAAATAACTTACCTCTTTTGAATCCCAAACCATCTTCCGAGGAATTAAATTATCTTCAAGGTTTGTAAGGACTTTAATTAAAGTATCCTAAAAGCAATTCAAATATTATTAGAAAAATAAAGCCATATCCAATTGAACAGGAAGGACAAATTTTTTAAAACATGCATTTTAAATATGAAAAAATAAGCCACAAGGTTTTGACTGCAAAAATAATAAGGTTAATACAATCTTAATTAAATCAGCAGATTTTAAAGCAGATAAAAATTTGAATATTAATTTATTTAAGTGTTTGGTCAAAATCAGAATATTCTAGATATTCTGAGAGAAAGAATTGCAATTTAATCCACATTGTATCATTCTCTTCAGTAGATATGCAGCTAACTTTATTGCCATGCTATCCTTATGGATACAATTTTTTCATGCCTTATAAAATATACAAGCTGGAAGAAAAACATTAATTAAAAATTAAGATGTGCACAAAAGTAAGTGAACCTTTACATTTAATATTTGGTGAATACTCCTCCTTTTGAGGTCATGATGTCGACCAGTCTTTTTCTATAAATTTTAAGTTTCTGGTGGTAGTGATCATCAGCTTTTGACCACTCTTCTTGGCAAAACTCCCACAATTGCTTGATATTACCTGGGTTTCTTGCATGTATTGCCTTCTTTAACTGATTTTCAATTAGGTTTAGATCAGGACTTTGACTAGGCTATTCCAAAACCCAAATTTCTTTTTATTGAACCCATTCTTTTGTAGATTTGGTGCTTCAGATCATTGACCTGTTGGAAGATCTAGCTCCAACCTAAACCCAAACTTTCAAACCGAGGGCAAGACACTTTCATTCAAAACTGCTTGGTATTTTGCAGAGTCCATTGTACCATCAATCCATACTATTTTGTCTGTTCCAGATGCAGCAAAAAGCAACCCCAAATCATTATGTTGCCACTGCCATGTTTAGCTGTTGGCACAAAATTCTTTCCTTCAAAAGCTGTATTAGGAGCTTGCCAGACATTACACCTATCATTCCTCCCCAAAATCTCTAGTTTGGTCTCATCTGACCATAAAGCCTTTTGCCAAAATGTTTCTAGCTTATTAATTATTGTTTGTGCTTTTTTATAAGCAGTGGCTTTTTCCTAGACATCCTGTCATGAAGACCAGCATTGTTCAGATTTTGTCACACTGTAGACGTATGCACATTGATTCTGAATTTAGCCAGGGAGCCTTGAAGAACTGCAGGTCACAGTAATATGCACCTGGACTTGCTGAACTAGATGTCTATTTTCTCTTGCAGTTATTTTTTGCAGACAGCCACTTCTTGACTATGATGATGTCATATGAAAGGCCTTCCATTTATAATTACTTTGTCACATGGTGGGGAATGGGCACTCCAAATCGTTTTGATGGCTTTTTGTAGCTTTCTCCATCATTATAGGCTTCAACTATTAATATTTTTAAAGCTTCAGGAAGTTCTTTTGATTTTGGCATACATTTTTTTTAAAATTTAGTCTTTAACTGCATCCATTTGCATACAAAACGTTATAATGGTTGACTGCAGTATACACAGCTTACCAAAAAAATGAATGTATCATTTTGATTTTTATACATGCACAAAAAATTATTTGCACATCTTAATTTTTAATTAATATTTTTATTCCAGCTTGATATAAATTTTGAAAGTGGTTGTAATTCATTTAATAAAAGTTTTTTCTTAATGAATATATAATTTAATTAAGATTTGTTGGTTATCTGGAAAAAAAAAAAAAAAAAAAAAAAAAAAGAAATTTTTTAATATTATCTCAGATGTCCACTTTTGCACAAAAGTGTCTGTATTTAGACACATGGATGTATTGGTCCGTAGTACTTAGCATTGATCATTTAAACTACAGTTGAATCAGGTCAGTCAGATTTTAAAATTATGTTGTAATGTATATAGAAAGATAGAAATATAACCTCATCATTTTAATATCTTACAGAAGAGATTCTCAAGTAAACTTACATATTCTGGTTTCTTCTTTTTGTCTCCTCCTCGATTCACAGATCGTTCTAAACCTTCTGTTTGCTTCTTCAGATATTCTATATCTTTATATCGTAGCTCATCATGGATGATGTTGAGATCTCTCACTGGATCCACTTCTCCTTCAACATGAACAATTTCCTCATCATCAAACACTCCTGGAAGTAAAAGCACAAACATGTTTAAGATTAATCTTCGGGAGTCAAACTAATTAGGCTTAAAAATGTGTTTTTAACAAGCAAATATGAAATATTTTGGCCAGAATATAAATTAAATATTTTTATGCAGTAGTTTATTAAATATGAGCATACTGCCTGGTTCAAAAAGAGAAAGTTTTCAATAGTAATTGATGTGTTTAGCAATGACTTCATTCTTACTAACACTCAAGATATAGTTTAGTAAAACTACATTTACCGGCCTGAATGCCAGAGAAATTTCATAGAAAATATGTGACCCCCTCCCCCACAGGAATCGAACATGTACTCTACATTTTTTTGCAGATACCACCAAATATTCGCCTTAAAAAATTAGTATTTTATAAATGGATAGAGGGAAAAATTTCAGAGAAATTAAATCCTAAAATATGTAAAAAAAAAAAAAAAAAAAAAAAAAAATTCCATAATACCATATATAAATAATTGCACAATACCATATAAAATCTATTAGCAAATTCAATAAATTTCAGACACGTATAAAACTATGGATTTAAAAATACAACCTAATCATATCTTAGCAACCCTTTAAGAAACCATCAACAAAAAACAAAACAAATAAACACCAAAAAGACCATAACTAGAACATCAATTAGTGAGAGTTTTAGCAGATAGTAATAAAAACAACAGTGCTTGATAGTAAAGGCCATTATAGCCAGAAAAAATTCCCCAACACAACCTTCCACAACTCCGAAAACTTGACATATAATAAACATTCCTACTTTTATCAAAGCAGAGACCCCTTGATAATGAAAAAGAAACTCCAGATTACATCTCTTTTCCAACCTATAAATGAGTAAAACATTTTCTTGGTTAGTTATTCCAAACATTGCTTGAGAATGAAACTGCCCTCTGGAGTTAAGGTTTGATATTGAAATTAAATTTTGGCACTCGAGTTTCAGTTTCGAAACATTAATTTCTGTGTTGCAATGGAATCATATTTTTAATTAAATAATTATAATATAAAATATAGCGTGTGTAAATATAAAAGTGAACATAGAAGTCAACACTTAGAGGCGACAGTCTGTTTCATGCTATATGCAATCGTCAATCCTCCCTCTCTCTCTATTTCTTTGATATCCATCCTTTGTCGACTGTGTGTGTGTGTGTGTGTGTGTGTGTGTTTATATATATTTTTTTCTCTTCATTTTGTTTTTCTTTAGTTTTCATACTGCCTAACATTTCTTCCTCCACTTCTTCACTTTTTGCAATACCTTCCTGATTAATATTATAGAGTTTTCTTCGTCAGAAAGTAAGACAATTCCAATGAGGAAGGATCAGGCATCGAGCATATACTACATTTTTATCACAGGTAGAAAAGCGTCACGGCCGAAGATACAAACACATCAAATAATAGTATCGATTGAACAGATCTGAATTAACAGACTAAGGGAGATAAATCGATTATTCTTCTGGTGGCTAAAAAAATAGCAATAAAAATTGCCAAGAGAGTATACAGTAATAGCGGTGTCAAGGGAAATACTTTTCTTTTGACATACGTTTTCTTGCGGGTATGAATGTTAATCTCTGCTCTTCTGGACACTACTCTTGAAATTGTTTCAAAGACTTACTAAATAAAATATAAATGATAATCTGCCTAAGGGGTAATGTAGAGCTTCAAAACTGGACATTTTTAGGAAGGATATAGTTCACAAAACATCATCCATAGAAATAAATACATACATTCTGAAAGAAGCTTTGATGAATGGGCTAGCAAACCCTTGCCTTCTCCATGTAGCTATCAAAACAATTCTTTGTGATTGCCATAAGCAATGAAGAACTGAGAACATAAAATAGAGTTAAAAAAAAAGAAAAGAAAAGTATATTTAACAATTGATTACATTAGATTTTTCTACAAAATGTATTAATTAATCTAATCTTTTAATGTTAATTTTTATCTGCCATACACAAGATAAAAAACCTTTGCAAACCTAAGTCAATATCAGAGGAAGCAACAATTTGATTTTATTCAATATATAACTTTCCATAAAATCACATCTAGAGAAAAAAAAATGAGTCACTAAAATGTTACATGACATTGATTATTATGATGACCTACTTCACATAATACTTAAACCTGATGTAGTCTGGGAAATTTTTTTTGTATATCTGAGGAATTTTCTTGCATAGAGTTTATTTGCTCCAAAACTTGATTTTTTTAAAGTTATAATGCTACCTTTTACAAAATTATTTCTCATGAAAAATTACACCTAAGTAGGTATCTCCACAAATTCGTGATACCTAAGGTTTAAAATGAATTTTTAAAAATGAAAAATCTTTTTGAAGCTTTTATTTTAGTTTTAATTTTAAAAAAATAGATTAAATTTAATATTTCCAATAAGCAATAATACTTTGCTGTATTTTAAAACTAATTTAAATTGATTGGAAGAGTTTTCATTTTGAATTTAGTATCATTTTAGCCTTGTCATTTCAATGTAATTCTCCTTATTAAAAAATCTTCCAAAATTAAAATATACTTTCCTGAAGCTTTATTTGAGGGATATTAGCTGATTTAATGTATAATTAATTTGATTTGAAACATATTATTTACTTTAAGTTAAAATATCACAGAAATGCATATTTTTAAGTGGTAGCTGTTGATTTAATTTGTTCATGTGTTGACAGATTTATGTTTATTTAATGTTGTTCTCCAGAGATTTTTATCCATAAAAAAATAATTGAATATAATGTAAGTGCCTTTTATATATAATTTTTAAGTACTTAGTAATCTTAAAAATTTAAGAAAATATTCTCCATAATCTAATGTTTTGTTGAATTTTAGATACTTTTTGGCTTTAAATTTACTATAGTTATTGCTCTTATTTTCTGATGATGTTGTGTATGAACTTTTGTATCTACAAAAACTGGCACATTTATACACATACAAAAACAATTTTAAATTCTTCTTTAAAATACTAGGTGATCACAGATTGTAATAAGCTTTTTGATTTGATTAGTGAATATAGTTTTACTAATATAGTTACTAAAAATTAACATATTGAATTTCTTGAGTTTTTTTATAAAATTAAGTGGGGTGAAATACATGTAAAAAAAAAATAAATAAATAAATAAAATAAAAAAAACTTTATGAAGATATTTCTAAAAATAACAGCCAAATAAAAACAAACATTTCTAAAAAAATTTCATTCATTGTGAATAAGTCCTGAAAGTTTCATTAAAATCTGACAATTATTTGATTTTTGCAAGAATTTCCAAATCAATGTCTTTCACTGCAAAAAAAAAAAAAAAGATAAAATTTGCTATACTAATTTATAGTCCATCCACTAGCACAAGAAAAACAAAATTTTTAAATATATGAACCCCCCAAAAAAAACAAAAAAAAAACAAACCTTATGTCTTTTTTCCTAATAATAACAAAGATTTTGATGATAAAACTTAGCTTTCATCAAGTTTTGGGGCATTTTTTCATCATAGTTTTTTTTTTTTTTTAGTTAATTAGTGAAGGTACCTACATCTAAGCTATGTAACATAAGATAATTATTAAGACAATCAAGCACAATTAAATGAATTGAATTTTACAAGAAACTATAGTTCTCATTTGATTAGTGCCCCCTAAAGAGAACCCAACTTTTAAAATTGCCTTATCTAAAAACTGATCTGAAATGAAGCTACATCTCATATCATTGTAACAAATGAACAACAGTTACCTACTGTTTGATTAAGTAATGAGAGTTATTCAATAAAAAAAAAATTGCAAGTTAAAGAATTAATGAAACCAACTGTTCCTAACAACAAAAAAGCTTTACATATGAATAAAAATAAGACATTTTTATTATAAAGTATTTTTGTTGTTTATATTTAAAATTCCTAATTTTCATCCTATGAAGCATGAGAAAATTTTGAAATTTTAAATAATCTGAAATAAATGTAACTTTCTTAATACAATTTAACAAGAATAAATAAAACTAAGTAAAATTCAGAAATGAATTGTACATTTAGGAAATAAAAGGTTAAGTTAGATAAAATACTGGATTTGTGTCAAGGATTTATGCAATTTATGGTAAAATTAGAGTAAATAAAATATTAAGTGAGAATGAATAGAAGAATATATAGATTTCAAGTGAATTTCCTTTTATGGCTCAAATTGCTTCCCCCTCTCCCTAAAGTTTAATATTCCTACTTATACAAATTTATTCACATTTGTCAAGAAAACAAAAAGAATTATAAACTGAATTGTGTTAAAGTCTTTGAGGTTGTCATTAAAGTATTTAAGAAATTTTTTAGATATTTTTGGAATAAATCAATTTGGGCACATGGTCAGTCTTTTTTTTTTTTCTTTTTCTTCTTTTGAGATGCATAAGAAAGGACTTACTGACAACATGGAAGATAGCATCACATGCACTGATGTTGGAAAGAAAAGCATTGCCAAGGCCTTTTCCCTCATGGGCTCCTTCTACCAATCCAGCAATGTCAACTACATTCAGAAATGCAGGAACTTTGCTGGAAAAGAAAAATTTGTAAATTATAAAAAGGAAAGCTTAATTTTCCATTTATACCATAAAGCTTATTATTTTTTTGTATTAAAGGATCATGATGCATAAGAATTTATGAATCTTAAAGTACATAAATATCCAGATATAGATTTTGAGGAAGATTCTCTCATTTTGAAAATGTTTTGTGATTCACTGCTATGCCAGAAAGAGGCTTAAATGTAGGACAAATATATGAAATGTAAAGCAGAAAAGTTTATAGGTCTACATAAAACCAAAAGCTAAACAGAAAACATACACCTGAAAGATTTACAATACATCAACATCAGAAAGGAAACAAGCAATTCCCTAATAATAAAAATAATTATCTGATGACCTTTTCAAAATTCAAATTCAAATATTTAAGGTCTAATTTATATTGAACCAGGTTCCCCAATGAATGACAAGTCTGTCACTTCTTTTTAAATATAAATAAAAATCAACTTACTACTAAAAAGAAAGAACTATTTTCTGTTTTTTTTTTTTTTTTTTTTATATATAGGTTTTATCTTTATTATAAGGTTAAATAATAGCCAACAAAACTATTTAATTTTTTATTCCTGCATTGTTTTGCTTGGTGCATACTTTACTAAAAATATGACCATTAATTACAACCAAAATGAGAAAAAAAATTAATCTTAACATTGATTAAACATATTAGGTAGACAAACCATAACAAAGTTGCAGTTGTGATTTGAACTCAAACCCAAGAGATATTTAATTGATGTTTACTGCTTTTGAAAAAAATATACTACAAAGACACCCAAATGAATGGAAACATACTCAATATGATAGGTACAACAGACAAGCAGCTTTTTTTATGCAAAAAGCAAGAATGATTTATTCAAAAGTTATTTTCTATCACAAGGAATTAAGAGTAAAAACTTTGCATTTATTTTTTTCTTATATTCTAAATATCTGGAAGGACCTAGTTTAAAACTTTGTTTTAATTGAATTTTCTATTAATGTATCATATAAGCAATGTAACAAAATTTTATAAAAATGTCAGAATTATTATTACAGAGACTAACCTGACTGGTTTGTAATGTTCACAAAGAAAATCAAATCGCTCATCAGGTACAGGTACTCGACCTGAAAATGAACCAAAATATGTTTATAAAATTACTCAAATGATAAAATGTTAATAACTGCAGTATGAGATTTAAAAACAATGTTTCTGTATTTTAAGTATTTAATTTCAGATTTAAGTTATTTAGTATTTATAGCATTTATGGATTTAGTATATTTAGCATTTTTTAATTTTATATTTATGTGTTAGTTATCTGAAAATAGCTAAAGAGATTACTCCATGCATTATTTGATATTGTGTCTGTGATATGAAGTATTCATAAATAAGTGATGCAACAAACAAAATTGTGATTAAAAAGAATTAACAAAAAATAAATAAAAACACAGTTAAGTTGCTTACCTTGTAATAAATAGAGAGAAAAAATTGAAATCTAAATACTCACTTTCGTTAGGATCAATTGTACAGAAAGGAAAATTTTCAGCAGCTGCTTGACTCTTTGTAAGAATGTTGAAGAAAGTTGATTTCCTGAAAAGAAAGAAATGTAGTAAGTATTGTACTTGTCTGTTTAGATAAAGTACAAAACAAACATAGCTTTTGTCCAAAACTATTTCAGTATTAATTTTTGATTATTTTTTTTCAATCTTTTTTTTTTTTAAAACTTTTTTTAAACATTTTTATGTTCTGTAACTTAAGTGGGCAGCATAGATCAGAAAAAAAAAGTTAACTTTTGACAAGATTTGAACTTATATTCTGTATCTTTGGAAGCTTGTCTGATAGGGACAGCATCTTACCAATTAGGCCACAGAAGTCCATCAAGAAAAATTGTAAATGAATGAGAAGATGAGATAATTTTAAGGTTTTATTGAACTAAAAAAACATCTTTACAACAATTTTTTTTTGCTTTCATTAAATTCTAAAGTGCAAAAGTCAAGGGAGACAAACATATAATAAAGGAATACAGGCATACATAGTACAGATCCACACAATATTTCCTTTCTTGGAGAGTTAGTTTCTGATAATGAAGGGGAATTTATGGTATTTTTGCACAAAATGCCTCAATGGCTTTAGTCCAACAGGTATTGAAGTGGAGGTTTCAGCATATGGCTGCAGACTGGCAGGGAACTGGATATACTGAGAAGAGGCATTTCTTTCCACAACAGTGACATCTTTGGTTGCATCAAAATATTCCAAAACAGGTGATCCAGAAGTTTGGCACAAGAGGCACCACCAAACTAGTTCCTGTACAAAAGATCTTCTGGCTTCTCATGTGTCATCAGTTGATTTACAACTATCAGCATACTTTGCATTAGCTTCTAGTATTTCAACCTCATTTACAAGTGGATCATATTTACTGGTGTAACCCTTGGAAGAGATATCCAGGTAGATAAAGAATTTCTTATGAGGCATGGCATTAGTGGTAGTACAAAGCAGAGATCTGACTGAATGGAGTATTTGAAGTCAGTTCGTTTATGAAGGATAATAAGTCATTAACATGTTCAAATTGGTCCTTCATGTTGCTTGTGCTATAAAATCTCAATCTAGAATGAGAACACCACACTTGAATGGGAAGTGCTCCCTGTACAGAGCCCGACATGCTGCACTTTTCAAATGCTCCTCCTGTCTTAGTATAAAAAAAAAAAAAATGTGATTTTGTATAGTTTATGCACAGTAAAGACAAGATGATATTTTTTGAAGGTTTTCCTGATTCTTTGTTTCCATTTTCCTAGGGTGGGCTTTACTTCAAAGATCTTGTGTATGCTGTTATTCCAAGGCTGTTGACAATTTTACTTTGAAGAGTTTCTTAATTCTGGTCCTTGGTTATTAACTAGGACCATAAACCCAGCACTGGGGACCATATCAAGAACTAACCTGGCTGCTGAGTCAGCTCTGTCCTTTCTCTTATTCCTCAATGGTGGGTTCTTTTCAAAAGATGAAAAGCTTTATTGTATTTTATTTTTTGCCAAATAGATGCTTGCATTTTGGATTAAAAGTGCAATCACAAGCTGGATTAGATAGGTAGGATTTGAGTTTTACATAGTGCTGTTGCATTAGTTTCTCGTATCTGAGTTCATGGGCTTTGGTGTATGGGATCTTCACTGGAAATGTTTTAAAAAACACAAAGGTCTCAAACTTTCATAATGGATTATAGTGAATTTTTTTCAAATAAGATTTTCAAGCTAATTCAGAAATGAAGCAACCATATATTCCAGTACTTAACAGATTAGTGCTCTATATATTTTCAGTAAGGTTTCTCATTCTGTATGGACTACCACATGGAGGATTGTAAGCTTTTGTAATATTTGAATTTTAAGTATTTCAAGTGGGGGGGATAAAAAATGGTTTTATCAAAAATCACCCCAAGAAATTTGCATTCATTGACTACAGGTATTTTTTCTGTCCTTTCAAGTTTGACAATTAGGTCATGGTGCATTTTTTTTCAGTTAGCAAAAATGAACATAGTTTTAGTTTTTAAAAATTTTAATTTTATTTCTCATTCATTTATCCTCTAGGAATTGCTGTGGTTGACATGATGGTAGGAATGTTTTGACCTGTAGCATATGAAAATTAATTAACATACAGAGAGCAGTCAACACCTGGAGTGGGTGTTTAATGGTATTGTTAATCATGATAATAAATGTAATCTTATGAATGTTTCTAAGCTGACCAGATGCTTCGGAAGCCACACATGAAATTGGTGATGAGGCTGTTGATCCTTAGAAGTAAGGCCAATCTATAGTTTATTCATAGTTTTGCAGAAACAATTTGTTAATAAAATGGGCCTATAGTTTTCTTTGTTAAAGAGAAAAAAATACTATTTTTTCAGCCAATGCAAAGTCCAAGAGCCACTCAAGATAGAGTAATACTGAATGTGATTGTGGTAAAAGGAGGAGGAAGAGGTACATATTATGAGGATATGTAGAAAAGATAATGGTTAACCCTTGAAGAGGTTAAGAATATAGTGATCAGGAAAACATCCTCTCAGGAGTCTGAGTAGAACTTCTTTCTTACTAATGGAAAATGAAGGGACTGGAGACAATTCATCCCAGTGTATGTGGCCTGGTGGGTCTTAGCTGTCAAGGTTAGAACTAGTAGAACTAAGGAAAGTAGCTCATCTGAACATTTGCCATGGAATGAGTAACAGTGGAGCAAGACTCTTGTGACATTTCATCTGATAGAAAGAGGTTGCAGGGTGGAAAATAATTCATCACCCATAAGGCCACATAATTGTTTTTGGACTGTCAATGCTGGACTATGAAGGCTGGGTTGCACCAGCTCAGACATGTCAGCAAAACACCATTTTTGGTTTGATTTGACACTTGTAAAGATATGGCATAGCAGGAGGGGTTAAGTACTTTCTGGAGTGTTACAAGGAACCAACCATTATTCTAGTATCTTTAGTGATTGTACGAATATACTAGTTCCACTTGAAGTCTGGAAGCAGTGGAGTCTCAATAGACATTTAAGGCAAGTAGCCTCAATGAAAGTACAACTGCTCATCAGGAATGGAGTAAATTTAGGATCTGCTCAGTGGTGATGAAATGTTACTAGCTTTGTTTTGAAGGTATTAAATCTTTTCCTCATCTATGTCAGTGGAGAGATCAGCTGCCAGATTCAGATTATCTAGAATTTTGGAAGTTCACCCATAAACCATGGGGTATCATTTGCATATATATTTACTAAAGATCTGAGAATGCTATTAGGCTGATCATTAATATACAGCAGGAAGAGGATAGGACCAAGGAGCACACATTAGGAGATGACAGAATTGATCTAATGTGCTTCAGAGAACTGGCCATTAATGACAACCTTTATAGACCTACTTGATAAGGACTTGATAATTGAGAAAATTCTTCCAGAGGTTCCATAGCTGTAGATTTTGTGTAGCAATCACTTATGCCACACCTTGTCAATAACCTTTGAGATATCTAAGGTGATTACTTAGAAGATGTGTTTATTATCAAGCATTTCAATGATTCTCTGCATGATAACAAGACATCAGTTTTGGACCTAGAGGAGTGAAAACCATATTTAGGAGGTTGTTTCTTTTCCAGGTTTTTTTGGAAATTTTTCAGCTAATAAATCACCAATATCCTTTTTATAGGTTTCTTTGGTGCTGTTTTTGGTAAGATGCTTTCGGGAAAATTATTTGTCTTTTTGCAAAATTTTTTTCATGTCCCAGATTATTTTTGTTTTAGAGAAGGAGTTAAAAAGTTTGCTTAGATATTTTCTCAACCTTCTGTCTTGGCTTTTTATTTTGCATGCTTTTGCTTTCTATAAGCTTGAAGGAGATTAAGTTGGAGCTTTTAGGATGATTGTTGAATTTGTGTAATACCTCCTGTCATGATCTGATAGCTTTCCTGCAAATTGATCTCCTGAATTTGTTTAGAGTTGAACTTTTATGCATGCATTTTTTTCTCATGGCAATCAGTGGTTCTGTGAAATGACTTGCTGGGTTTTTAATAGTCATTTGGATTTAATCTTTTGTTACATTGGGATCAAAATTCTTTTCAATTTGCTCTGTGTAATTTCTCATGAGAACAATTGTCATCAGGTTCTAAATTTTCTAGTATAATTGGCAAGTATTTTCTACCAAATATGTCATCACATACTGTCCAAGTTTAATCTAGTCAAATTGTATGGATAACAAAGATGAGAATATATATGCCATTGTTGCAGATGTTATCATTTTTTAAAAGATTTTCTCAGTTTTTCTGTACTGAACATGATAACAATAAGACATTATCCTGCCAAATAGTAACACCACCTTTTTATGACCTCTACAAAACATACAAGCCTCCTTTGTAAGTGCTTCCATTCAATGAGAGTAATAATGTGTTAGTGGTGAAGGCAACTGCGTGACCCACTTGGTTTAGCGAAACTGAATTAGTGATGTTGACGGAATCTGTCTCTACTAGCAAGAGTACAGTTTCAGCAATTCCCAATCTTTCTTTTGACGTCATTGAAGATATTCAAAGATTCAAGATTGGAAATATCTCAGTAACAACCACAATTCTTATCAGAGAATCAGGGGAAATTCATTGGAATAATACACAAGGTAAAGAAAACATCTGAAGTCAGCTGTTCTCTTAATGATTACAATCATTCAGCATCAAGTTTCAGTGATCCATGAGTTCTAGTGAAGCTGAGAAAATTCATAGATATGGCTAATATAATAATGGATCTTCTTCACTGAAAATAAAATTATAGAATTATGCTCACAAAATGTCAAGTTCTTGTAATTCTACTTTGTCCTGGCTATAACAATATTGTTAATCTAAGACCGTTCTGTGCAGGTTATTTTGCTTGATAATATTATCAATAGTTCTTAGGAAACAAGCAATGCTGTTTGTGACTGAATATAACTCTGCAGAATTGATACAGCTTACTATGGCTTTGAATGCAGTATATAAATTATAAATTTTGCAGTATATTCATGAAAGTGCTTTAATTACAAAACAAATTAAAAACTATGGAAAAAGAAAAATGAATTGATAAATTTTTGAGAATAAAAATACCCTGATGACTTCTATAAACCAAGTAGTTTTGCTGCTTTTTTAATTTAGTGCCTACAAAATGGGTAATAAAATTTGCATAAATTATATTTGTTAAAATTAAAACAAATTCTCATTTATTTGTGAAAGTCTATATTACTATTTTGTTTTTCCTTCCTTACAGCATAAAAAGGGGAAGATGACTAATGGAATTATTTTTTTTTAAATTCAGTTATTTTACAAACAGGGCAATACAAATAAAATATGAAAGAATCTGTTTTAAATCAGTTACTATATAGAAAATGCTGAAAATTTCTCAGCCCAACAAAAAAAAAAGAAAAGGAATTCCAAAATAAAATTATGTTTGGTCATTTGATCAGATTTTGGGAAGTAGGTCAGGCTGAGAACTTTTCAGAACACCATCATATATCTACATGTTGTACATGTCCTCCTAGAATTTGCCTGTATTTCATAATGGGCTGTGTCGCAGAGTTAATTGCAGTTGAAATTCTTGAAATAATAGCAGTTAATGATGTGTATAGAAAGAATATAAATAGATCAATTGTTTTTATATTCCTCAGATAGTAACAACAAAGGATGATAAACTTTCCAAGTGAGATTTTCCTGTTAGCAGCTGATAACTTAGGAAATGAGAGAAACATACACTCACCCAACATTAGGTAAACCAACGATACCAATTTTCAAATTTGTACCAACTCGACCAATTAAGGCTGGAAGCTGCACCTCTTCTTTTTTCTTTGGCGGCATTCTGAAACAGTGATAAACAATTGAGTTAATTCGTTGGTGTCTGTGTATCTTGTGCTGTTGGAATTAAACAATCCTGTTAGTGAATCATCTTGTTGGGTTACAAAAGAGACTCCTCCTTTTCCTTTCGAAGAAGACAGTTGAATGGCCTGGCTGAAACAGTAGTAACATCAACAAAGTATTTCTTAAAGTGTCCAAACAAAGTTTGGAATATCAAAGACTACAAATTTAGAGACAACATCTTTATTTACCTTAATCTAGTCAGACTAACATCTTCACTTTGGTTGTTATAGTCACTGTAACACGAATGAAGACTAATCAGAATAGATCAATGTATAACAACATATTTAATTCATATTTTTGAATATTATGTTTTGATGATTCAATCAAAATTTAATTTAACTACATTTTGGAGGGCAAAGATGTTGATCTGTGTTTTAAGAGAATCAGAAATAAGAAAAAGGTTCATTAATCAAAGAGAAAAGAAAAAAGAGGCAAGCAGCTTAACAATACTTACAAATTAAGATGAAAAAAAAAATACTTTTCAAAAAGTAATAATAATTGACAATGTTTAATGTAAGAAATTTGAACAGTTATATTTACTACTACTACTACTAGTTTGAAAATAGTAAATAAACAGAATGATGTAGTAGGACCCTTGCTGCCTTCAAAACTGCCAGCAATCATTGCAAGCAAATTCTAGGAAATGCAAAGAGCATCTATACAGTCAGTCCAAATTTCAAACAGTGCTATCATAAATGGTACTGAGGTTATTTCATCCTTGTCAGATAAGTTTAATCTCTGCAATAAACTTTGTTGCTAATACAACATTATACAACAAATTCTGGCTCTGCTAAACATATAGCATAACAGGAGGAGTCAGGTACTTATTTGAGTAGTGCAACTGACCATTTTCACCAGAATCTTTAGTGATGGATTGGATGTATGATTTCCACTTGTGGGGTCTGGGACGAGTCCCAATAAGTGTTCAAAGCAATGAGCCTCCTTGAGAGAACAACCAGTCATCATGACAGGTGAAAATTCAGAGTCTGCGTGATGACGATGGAATTTAACTAGTTTGGTTTTTGAGGTATTGAATGTTACAAGTCAGTTATTCCCTCATTGTGCTGGATCAGAGGAGAGTTCAGCTGCCAGGCTCACATATACACTGCATAGATATTCATTAAAGATCAGAATTCGTTCTTAGGTAGATCTAAAATGGGATACTGCTGCCATGTCTAGACTGGAGCTGCCCAGTCTTGATAGAGTTCAAAAGCATCTACACGATCTTGATAGAGATAAATTATTTTCTATCCTACAACTCCTTTTCTCACAGATGAAACTTCAAACTTGCTACCCAATCACTATTTCCATGACAAATATTCAGACAAGATAAATTTCTTAGTACCACCAGTTCTAACATTTCATGGCATACACTGGAAAAAATCATCCCAATTCCCTTTGTAATCCATTAGTAAGAAGGAAGTTTCACTTGGACAGCTTCTTCCCAAGAACTGCTGGTTTGTAGAACAAACTTCCAAGAGCATATTTTCCCTGATTGCTACAATCTTAACCTCTTCAAGTCTAGGATTAACCATTATCTTTTCTACATATCTTCATAACTGCACCTCTTACACTAATGTGACAATCTAATTCAGTAACCCATTGAGTGGCTTTTGAGCCTTGTATTATGCAAACATTAGTATAAAAAAAGATGACATTTAGAAAAATTTGAGCACTAAGAAATACTTACAAAGCTTACTTGCTTTTAAGTTAGTTAAATATGTATAAATAATAAAATTATTGAAGAAGATAAAAGCATATTGGACCAATGTCTACAGTTACATGAACTTTAGTTTCATAAAATTTGTTCAGTTATATATGTATGTAAACAGAATTTGATTAGGATCCCATTTTGCACAAAGCAACACCAAAATTAAGGATTTACTATTAAATGATTTCTTTTTAACGACATCTTACATGTTAAAATTTATATTTTAAAACTTACTACTCCATCCTGGCTGTTCAAAGCAAGAGATTTTTATTTGATAAAATGTTTCCTTATTAGCAAAGGAAATCCTTCTTTTAAAACTTGATAAAACCTTACTAATTATTTTAATTTTACTACCAGGTTTGTTGTAAATGAGAAAATTATTTCATTGAAAGTAAATGGAAAAATGTGTCAGAATGTTTCAGAGTTCTCAAGTGTAACAATTTGTGAAATGTTATAAAAATTTTGAACAGTCTTGTGTTCATTGTTCAGCATAATGAAAGCAAGAATAAGAATCATTCATTTTTGAAGGAAAAGTAATCAAGATTTCTATGAACAGTTCTCTTTGTTAGTCTGCTTTACTTGATAAGTAACAGATTTGTCATATGGCAATTGTTAGTTTTACCACCAAGTATTTGTAAAGTGTAAATTGATGCAATAGCAAACAAGCTAGAAAATGCAATCAGGGACCAAAGTTCAAATTTTGTTCATCTCTTTTTATCCTTATAGATTTACTAATAGCAAGAATTTAACTTTACATGCACTGTGTCTCATCAGAGGTCATAGTCTGTTGCAATGATAGCGAGAAGAATGCGAGTACAGAAGTAATTTGCCACTCTTCTCTAATTATATGTCCAGGTGTAATATCTTACAATGGAGAGACATCTATCATGTATGTACTTGGACAGTGTCCAAGTTGGCACAAAGCTACAGAAGACATTGTCAAGAGAAATACCTTATAGAACTTGCTGATAATTGTATACATCAGAAAATACCTGATCTTTCTTTTTTAACAAATTTCAGAGTAAAAGCTATTTTAAAGCTCTCATCTAAAAATGCGTTTTGCAATCAACAAGACAACAAAACCCTTTTAATATTTATCAGAACAAAAATATTCATTGGTTGACAGAAAATTTTCTTTTTTATTATGTAATTTTACGTAGTTAGGTGTGCATAAAGTAAGGAACAAAATTTATAATGTTATTTCTCAATTTCAAGAAAATCATATGCAGTTAGTAAGATTATAATCTTCACTGAATGTCATAATTTTTCTGGTTGTGTTGGAAACAATTGAATAAGTTGGTGAAATAATGAGAAAAGATTAATATGCATCTTTTTGTCATAATGAATAAAAAGTTAAATTCTGAAATTGGTTTTGTAAACCTGAGAAATTTGTACCTCTTCCCACTTATGGAACACAAAGTAATTCACATAAAATTATTCTATGGCAACATTGTTACGGTTCTATACCAACATATATTTATATGTAAGGATAACATACTTTTTTAAAACTATAATAAAATATGCCAAATGTATACAAAAATTTAGTATTTTGCTGTTTTAGTTTTTCATAACTTTGTTCTTCCACAAAAAAACCTGAGAAACTGTCATTTTGCAGGTTTTAAAACTAAAAAATAAATTAAGCAAGTACAAAAATTGAAATAACCAGGACATGTTTTAACAGAGGACTGTGACACTGAAATCCGAAGGCACACTGGAATAGTGAAAGATGCCTTCCAAAAGTATTAAGAAACAGGAAAATTTTGTTAGAAACAAAGAAAAGAGTACTGAACTATTATGTAATACCAGTCCTCCTATATGGTAGTGAATGCTGGATAATCTCCTCACAGATCAAGAGAATTGAGGTAAAATGTGTTTCTACTCTACATAAAGATGCTGAGAATATCATGGGCTGAACATGTGAGCAACGACAGAGTTTTAAAGAAAATGGAAACAAAAAAGACACTTATACTTAAGATCAGAAAGAGACAATTGAAATTTCCATGATATAAGGAAAGAGAACTTGGAAAATTCGACACTCACAGGACATATTGATGGCAAGATGGATAGACTGAAAACAGAAACCAACCTAACGAACTTGCGTATGGTTGGCATAACACTCATAACAAGGATTAGGAGTGATAGGACAAAGATGGACATTGCTAAAAATGCTACAAAGGTCAGCAAGTTGTGGCGCCATGATCACCCACGTAATCAAGGGACGCGGCAAGAAATTTATGTTTATGTATAGGTAAAGAAAGATCGACGGGAAGCTAAAAATAATTATCGGTCCCGATCAACTTCCCTCAAAATCTGATCTAACCAAACATCAGATTTTTATTTTTTGGAAGGTCTTCTTGGTCGGGCCGCGATATTTTCAACAACCCAAAGTAAGTTTTATGTAGATCGTTACTGGGTATATATCTCAATATTTACATATCAAACACTGATTTATCTCCCTTACATAACACCCTTTTTTTTTTTTTTAAGCGCTACTCTGCATTTGAAACCACGCATTCGAGTACAAAGTGCAATTTAATTTATTTACAAAATTTGATCAATAAAGACTATTTTTCTTTCGTTAGCTGAGGAAACGACAGAATTTCTTGAGGATATATCCAAAAATTAAACTTATTGAATGAGTTATATAGTCAAAATTTGAAAAAAGAAATTGTGATCTGATGCAAAAAAAAGCCTAATTATTTTTGTTTTTCGATTGGTCACAAACGTTAAATTTTAGAATTTACTTATAGAATAACTACATTTTTAATGTATGACTTTTGATATCGAATGGAGAGTTCAAACTATGAGTTTCTGTTTCGTTTAGAAAAATTACGTGCGAAGTAAGGGAGATCGTTTGAAACACTGAAATGGACTACTTTCAAAAAAGAAAAAAATAATCTGGTTAATCTTGTAAAATTTGTAAATATTTTAGCGGTACAACAGCGGACAAAAAAATTGACGAGGAAGGATCGAAGTCGCTAGGACAAAATATTATTTTTTCTGTATTAACTTTTTTTTTTTTTTTAAACTTTAAAAAGTGAAGAAACGTAAATCAGTATATTGCATCAGACAAATAAAAATGTCTAGTCAATTCATTTTTTAACATTAAAATTTTGCTAACTTTTTAGTATTACAACTATTTAAGTACAACAAATAAATAAAAAAGGACGAAGTAAAATCAATTCATGTGATTAGTAAACATATTATACCATTTAACTGAATGAGGATAAAAAAAATACTGATTTAGGAAAATCAGCCACATGGTTTTTATCTTTTGGGATCAGAGATGCGATCGTAAACATTAAACCTGTTACGATCTTTTAAAATATCTGGTGAGACAAACTCACTTGGAGTAGCAATCACTTTGAAAACTGGATGTGCAAACGTATTTTTCTGTTTAGGAAACAAAAGTCCGTCCTTTCTTGGTACCGACCGGCTTTTATATACTCTTTTTACCAAAATGGCGAGACAAAAAAGATCGTTCACCCATCGGCGGAAGTAGAACGCCTTACCTCCCTTCATTACGGCTTCTTTTGTCAAAGTGTCCCTTACTGAATTTTTGACCACCAATTTGAACATTTTTAAGTTGAAGTCGTTACTATAAAAAATGTAAATATACTAGATTACTCTGTAATTGCAGAAGTTTTTAAATAAATTTTCTATTTGTCGCTATTTTAACTGAACAAAATCAAATCTATATACTGCAAAATATACCTTTTTCAGCAAAATATGATTGTTAATTGAAAAAACTTATTTATAGCAATTATAAACTATTTTACATTCCGTATAGATTTTAAGAAAATGTTAATATTTATTTTTATATTTCCAACTGAAGTTATATTAACCACTCACATTGACATTGGTCAGTTAATTAAAATCTCACATCATTGAATTAAAGTTTTATTTTGTGAAAATGACAAAAGTGATTGCAAGAGAACAATGAGGATGTATTTTCATTTGCTGTTCTTACATTGTGATGGGCAAACCAACAAAGACTGCCATATATATCATTAGTATAGAACTGTGTAATTGACTATGATTATTTATTTTGAATATCCTATTCTGACATAAGGCTGCACGAATAAGACCTGTATGATATGAGTAACTAGTCTGTTGTACCCTACTGGAACTTGATTTTTTTAACTCAAATGGCTCAGTTTGACAACCACAGCTCAGATGACAAAAACAGACCTTAATTTTGACCTTCTCAATTCATTCACTTTTGGTATGCTGCCCCAAAATACCAGGGTCATAAACATTGTTTATGACCAATCAGAAAAAGTTCAACACAGTTTTCGCATCAACTGTTTCTGAAAGTCAACACTACTTCCATTCATGAAGGCAGATCTGGCCTGGCTGTCATTAATGATGGACCCCCATGGAAGGCAAACTTAAGCAGATGTAGCAGACTGCATGACTTCCAAGACCATCAGCAGTGATACCAAGGCATCTCCATTAACAGTGATGCCTTCAATCAGCAGTAGCAGTAAAATCTAACTCTTGGCTACTATAATGTGATAATTTGCAGAATATTTCTCCCATGAGTCTGTCTCATTTGACTACATATACGTGTTGATTTTTCCATGTGTCTATCTCAACTACTATCTTGTGTTATACCTTAAATGGACTCTCAGTCACTCATGGCTGATATATGATACTACAGAATGATCAAACGATTAAACCTTGTAAATCACAGGGAAATAAAAACTTTTATTTATCTCAACCACGTCTTATCTCCATTGTTTTTTTTATAACTTACACATTTGTTTTTCTTGTTAATGGTAAGGCCCCCATTAGATGCCCGTGAGACAACTTTGCTAACTATATAAGCAATTGTGGCTCTTGGGCACTGTTCTGAGGTTATCTGAATACTTGGATGAGTATAGCTGCAGAACTGAATGAGTAGCAGCACTATATCGAGTCTAGTTTATGTCTTCTTCATCATCGAGGCCTGTGGTACAGTTGGTATGATGTTTGCAACAATGTTTGTTTCTCGATAGTGGATGTGCACTGCTGATGAGTCTCAGATAGGATGAAACGGCTATCCAGTGCTTTCTGCATTCTGTTGAGGATTATTCGACCAATTACTATATGATTAGCCTAAATCCCCAAAATAATCACACACACACACATATACATATATATACACAAAGATTCACTAAAAAAATGATCATACTTGTGAAAAAATTGCTCAAACTTAATAAAACAGAATTTTATCATCTAAATGTTTATGTTATTATTAAAAGAAAAAAACAAAGGATTATTAAATTATATTTTGTGATCCTTTTTAGAACCTTCAAAATTTTGGTTAAAAATTTAGTTTTTCTTGAGTCAGCAGGTGATCAGAAATGAATATGGAAAATTTGAATGTCTTTTTGTGGTGAAAAACTTATTGATTTGGAAATTCTTGCAAAAATCAGATGATTGTCAGATTTTAATGAAACTTTCAGGAATTATTCACAAATAAATGAAATTATTTTAGAAATATTTCTTCTTTAGAAAATCTCTCCATTTATTTAATTTTATGAAATTTCAAGAATTTATTTTTGTAAAGCTTAATGTTCATATTAGTTATAAGGACAAGTCCTTGGAGAATTTAAATCATCAATTTTTTTTGTAAAACAGGACCCCTATTTATTGAAAATCTGCTCTGAATCACAAAAATAAAAGAATGAAATAAAACTAAGACATTTAATTAGAAAAGCTTTTAATTGCTTTTATGAATAAGATATGTTATGGACAATGTTATCTTAAGAAAATCTTTGATGAATAATGAATTTTTACAAGAAATGTTTTTATCTTTAAAAGATTTTAATTATAATAATTTATAGTTTGAAATCTTTTAAAATTCTTTATTAATTTGTACTGGTTAGGTGATATTGTTATTAAGTAAAATCTATATTTTCTAATCATAAATAGGAAAAGCTTACTACAATTCAGTGACCCCCATATTTAAAAAAAAAATTTTCAATTTTTTTTGTGTGTATAAATGTACCAATTTTTGTAAATATGGGCATCCATAAATGATATTATCAGAAAATAAGACTAGTAACTATTGTAAACATTTTTTCGATAACCATCTTCATATAAAGACTATAAAGCCAAAGTACCTAAAATTAATAAAATATTAAATTACTTAGAATGTTTTCCCAAATTTTTAAAATTATTGAGTAGTTATAAAATTATTTTAAAAAGACGTTCATGTTGTATTCATCAAGTAATTTATACAGTTATGGGACCTTTACTTAAAAATACCAAACATTAAGTTATTGATAAATCTGTAAACACCTCATAACAACACCCACCTCAGTGTTAAAAAATGCTTTTCTGCAATATTTTAAACTAAAAGTAATTGACATTTGTTTTAATTCAGATTAATTAAACTTTAAATCAGTTGAATTTTCTTCAAACAATGTTTCAGAAAAGTATATTTTATTTTTGAAAGAGAATTATGTTGTTTAAACAGATTTGTCAATAGGGCCAATTTTAGTAATTAAAAAAAAATAATTCCACTCAATTTAAATTCGGTTTGATATACAGCAAAGTATATTACTTATTGGAAATAAATTTAGCTTAAAATTAAAACTAAAATAAAAGCTTTAAGAAAGATTTTTCTTTTTTAAAAATCTTTTCTTTTTTAAAATGCATTTTAAACTTTAGGTTTTATATATATTTATTTTAGGGAAAGGTGAAAATGTTGTAAGACAAATGCAAGGAATGAAAATATATTGTTCTACCCACCAACTCTATCACAATTACAATTTGAAAAGAATTCATCTGAGCTTAATATAAAATTTATTACAATTACTTCTAAAACAATAAAAGACTTAATACAAAATAAAATAAGTAGCTCAAACTTGAAAGAAGAATTTATTCTATCATCTGTAATAATTTTTGTAAGGAATATGTTATGATTCATGATGATAATGATATTTCATCATTCTAGAAATAAAGATCTGAAATTTCATCACTGTAAAAACAAACTTTCCACCACAAGCAAGAGTAGCAGTAGTAAAAAGAACAACACAGACTGGACAAGACTTATCTTCTTTGCTCAGTGAAAATCAAGAATTGATGGTTTCAAAAGCTTTCCTTAACTACAAAATTCTTGGAACAGTTATAAACAAGTAAGCCCAAACTTTTAAAGAAACAAAAACAGACAATAACACACACAAAACCAATATTTTAAATACCATTCATGAAAAGAAAAATACACATTCTTGTCATTAATTTCAACACATGTCTCAAAGTCTTATTGTTATTGTATGTTTTATTCATTTCATTTTCAGTATAAAAAAAGAGAAAAAGGAATCCTCTATCAACTACTAATACATATAACATGGGGTAACTTACATTAAAAACTCGACATTCAACCCCATTACAAATACATAGGAGATACCTCAAGTAATTGAAATAAAAGCTTATATGAATACAAAAGGGATATTTTACAAAACAACACATGAATTACATTACTTGTTCAAAGTAATAAGTCTGATCTTAATTTTGATTTAAAAATGCCATTCTAATTAAAAGAGAAAGCAATTTACTAAGGTGAAAGTGTGAAAGGAGATCATACACAGTAAATTTATGTCCAGGTTCTTACAACATTTTGCTTTTTTTGGCAGATTTTTTGCATTTATCATGTTATAGACAAGCGTATGGTTGCAAGAAAGAAATACGACAACAGCAGAAATAGATTTACGTGGTTTATTTCAACAGGAACGTGTGGGTTTGGGACAGCTACCTTGTGGTAAAGTTCATAAGCCGGCTTCGGATCTGGTCAATCTCTCATAGTAGTTCACACATGTTGAGGGTGGTTGATGCTCCCCTGCTGTCAGTAGCTGACCGTGACAGGTCTCTACTCTGGGCACCTGTTGACTGCCTGTTGAACTTCAGTGTGACCCCTTTTATAGCGTTTTTTATGGCTTAACAGGCTCGAAAAACGAAGCGAGTATAATTGGAGAGAAGCATTTTTATTGGACGAAAAATAGAGCACTTTAAATATTATTTTATTTTTCGACCGGAACACGTGTGTTGGGAACATTTGTAAAGAAAGATAGTGGTCATTTTGTGACGGGGCTTTTTCCCGTTCACATCCGGTTCTCGCTCTTTTTTTTTTCCCTAAAATTGTTCTTGATATATAAAAATTGATACGTCATTTTCCTATATATATATATATATATATATATAATTTTATAAATATGTATCAAGTTTATAAAGAAATTATCATAATGTTTTAATAAAAAAAAAACATGGCCATTCAACTATTTCTTCATAAGTATAATATGATGCACCACTGGTTTTAAATAAACTGTGAAAATGCAAAAAAAAAACTTGTCAGTTAAATTCAATAACTTTGAATAAAATTTTGATGCTTAATATATATACATAATTTGCATTCAAGTCATGCGTATATATATATATATATATATATATATATATATATATATATATGTATATATATATATATTTAGTTTATGCAAAACTAGGTAATCCGTATGGGTAGACCCAAGGAGGATGAT